ATTAAAGTTATGAAGTAGCAATGAAAGTAATTGTATGGTTGGGGGTCGTTACAACAGAAAGAACCGTATTAAAGGGTCACAGCCTTAGGAAGGTTGAGAACCACTGAAAGCAAATGCTAACTTTAAATGAATATAGGTTATATAGCAATAAATGTACGTCTGCATTTTAAAAGCTTATAATGTATTGTTTTTTCTAAGTTTGCTACTAGCATAGGTCTAAGCCTTTCCATCATTCATTCATTCATTCATTCAGTAGCATGTCCCTCGCGGAACCTCGCTGCCATAACAACCCTCCGGAAAACCTTCCTATCCTGAGCAAGATGTCCTGCGTCTGATACACCCATCTGGAGATCATCTGCCACATCCTGCACCCATCTTCTCCTTGGCCTTCCTCTTCCTCTCTTCCCAGGCATATACCCCTCCATTATTGTTCTCTCTAGACTTCCATGACGTTTCAAGTGACCAAAATATTTCAATTTTCTTTGTTTTATTGTCTTTACTAGCCAACCCTCTTCAATATTCAGCTCTTGAAGTATGGATGCATTTGTTCTTTTCTTTACCCAAGATATTCTTAGAACCTGTCTAAGAATATCTTGGACAGGTTCTAAGAATATCTTGGGTAAAGAAAAGAACAAATGCATCCGTACTTCAAGAGCTGAATATTGAAGAGGGTTGGCCTTTCCATCGGCACTGTCAAATATCATGTGCATTATCTATATATTTTACAATTCAGCTTTCCTATAACAACCTAAATAATCAACAATTTAGAACAAGAAAACCCAGAACAAGAATCTGAAGTAACCTATACATTTGTGAAGCCCGTGGGCTGTTCAGGTTACCAACAATATCTTATTTGCAATCAGCTGAAGCGGTATACTGAATTATTTATATGACTAATTCACGCCCAAAGAATGATATATAGTCCACCTGATCGGCTTAAAGCTGAGTTGATGTTTAGAATCGAACGTTCTTTTATCATGGTGTTACTTGAAGAAATGTGTATTTAATTATTGCCTAACTGAAAAGTACATTTTGGATGGGTTCTTCTTCTTTCTTCTTCGCGTTCACCAGCTGTAAACTCTGGCGGAAGGTTCTGGTTGCTCGTCCACTACTGAACTGCAGTCCTGCTCCAGAACCTGAGTGTTGCGTGTGCATCAGTTTTACAGATCTCATTCTCTTGAATACAGACTGTTGGTTCCTTGCCTCTCCGGCAGATGCACTCCGACTTCAAAGGAAGCTCCCCAATTAGTCGACTCTTACGACATGCTTTTGGGGAGGCAGTGGGTCTATTCTTGTTTTCCCCACAATGGGGCCCCGGAACCCACACAGGGGACGATGGGTTGTTTCAATACAGTATAGTCCAGCTGTCTTATTAAGATAACTGGGATTTTCTTAAATTAACTTGTTTATTGATATATCAAGTGGTTTGGCCATCTCGTTAAAATGCCGCAAGATCAAATACCATCACAAGCACTACATCTCAGAAGATCAACTACAAGAGCAGGAGGACGGCCGGGGAAAACATAGATCGGCAACATTTAAGACACTCTACGCCTTCGCGGCATGACAATGGCAGCCAACGTGGATTGGATCGCAAATTATTCCTCCCCACGGCGCTTAACGGCAGAAGTGGGTTTTGATGATGATGATGATGACTGATATATTGATTTACACTTTTTATTTCCACAATTAAAGTTCAGTTATGAATATATTGCGCCTTGATTATTAACACATTGTTTGTGGGTTTGTTTGTTATGTTTTCAACAATAGTTATTTATTCTGATATTTTCGGCGATTCACCATATAAGTAAGAAACAAAAAATGTAAAGGACCCTTTTCCACGCCTTATAGGGCTAGACCTATATCTTTATAGACCAATCGACACAAGATGGGTGATGTGGTCAGTATCACGCCGGCCGCCTTCGCTTTCCCGGGACTGTACCCGGTACCCACTCAAGGCTGGGTCGACCTGGAAAAAGTCCGGTTCCGCCAGGGAGCGAACACACGACCTTTCGATCCGCGACGAGCGTCTAGCCGCTCGGCCACGGCGACTCCCTGATTCACCATTTTGAGCTGTCAGTTCTTATTGACTTTACTCCAACCTCTGAATTCTGGGACCAATCAGTTTACCCTAGACACTTTTCATTTGAGCGTTGTCAATCACTAGTAAAAGAGGGTTTTAATGGGATCTCCAGATTGATTGATTTGAGTTGATTCACGAACCGACATCACAGCACTCGGGGCATTCACATAAGCGCTTCGTCCCCATCTTCAGCAGCCAGCGAAGAGTTTCGATACTAATGGTGCCAGTAGCATTCTTATTAAACGTCCGTCTTGCCTTTCCTCTGAGCCTCAAGCATCTGCCAGAACCTCTCGTCAACAATCTTACCAGACTGTGGTACACGTTAAAGAGAACAGGCGAGACTGCGGATCCCTGTGGCAGTCCTGGGGCCAAAGTGTATGGTTATGAGGTCCATGAGCCCAGTCGGAGAGCAACCCGACGTGAATACAGGACAGCTGCAACCCAATTCACCAGCCATGGACTGACCTCCTTCTCCCTCAGTGCAGTCATTAGGATGTCGTATCTGACTCTGTTATAAGCATCCTCGAGATCCAGTCCTACAACCATTCAGGTGATGGTACAGTATGCCAGCAACGCTATGACAGGAGTAAAGCCAGTCGAATTCATAGTGACCAAATAATTTTTGAATTACAGTATCATAAACAATTATTTTGCTAACAGACAAATTTACTTGTGTATATAGTGTAGTGCGGCGTTTATGGCTTAGGCATTGCGAGACCGACTCGTAATTCCCAGGTGCCCCACTGCTGGCTGCGTAGATTTTTATAATGGTATGGGGCGTCGCAGGTCGACCCAGCCTAAAGTGGGTACCAGGATGTATGTCCTGGGGAAGTAAAGACGACAGACGGAGTGCTGACCACATTACCCACCTAGTGCCGAAGGGTCTGTAAAAATATGGGTGCTCTTCCCATATGCCCGAGGCGCCTAAAGGCGTAAAAAGGGATCTTTACTTCAATTACTTATATACTGTAGCGAAAGTACAGTAAAGATCATAGTAAAACTAAAACGACAGCAAGTGGTTCTTGAATAATTCTTTTAAAAAAAAAAAACTGACCAAAAGAAACCAAAGATGCTGAATGTGAAACTGATGTGCAGCATAGATATTGCGCGAAAACAACAACAACACAAAATACGAATCATGCACAAATATTTAAAAATGCCAAACAATAACAACTAATACAGTTACTAATAATCTTTAACCATTCATTAACTGGTGCCGGCGTAGAATAATTGGAATTAAAGGGCACAGTGTGTGTTGTCCATCAAGATGATGATGACCACTCTTTTTTATCAAGTATGAGTACGAAGATGACCGATGAGGCCGATAAGGGCCCGAAAAGTTCTTGGACAGTGAGGACAGGGAATGAGCGTTGTGCCAGGGAGGGGATCTCCTGCAGTCGCCTTTATGTCTATCCTTTTCTTAATCAGTCTTGCTGGTCTGTTTGCTTCACATGAAGCCGAGCCCTTTTGTAGAGCTGCACGTCATGCATTTCGGTCTTGAGAGGCAGCTCACCATAGAAAAGACTTCAGGGTGTCCTTAAAGCGTTTTTTTTTGCCCGCCTTGGGAACGTTTCCCATTTTGCAGCTCACCATAGAAAAGTTTTTTGTTTGCTTCACATGAAGCCGAGCCCTTTGTGTAGAGCTTGAACGTTGGGGAGCCTGTGATCTGGCGTACGTGCCACATGACCAGCCCAACGAATTTGATACTGCACCAGAAAATCGCTAATGCACAATGCAGAGAGAGAGAGAGAGAGAGAGAGAGAGAGAGAGAGAGAGAGAGAGAGAGAGAGAGAGAGAGAGAGAGAGAGAGAAAGAGAAAGAGAGAGAGAACCAAACACAGTCCAGTGAATGAAAGTCGGTGGCGCCGGATAGTGAACATATTGAGAAACCCTGAGAACAATATAAGAAGAATGTCTTTACACTGGAACCAACGAAGTCATAGAAATAAAGGCAGGCAGAATAAATTTGAGGAAGCAACTAAATCGTAGTCACAAAGATGGAAAGGGCATATGGTGAGCTGCATGCAGTACACGGCAAAGGACAGGGCGACTTTTTGTGAGTTGGCAGAGTTCCTATGCTCCACTGAGAGATCAGGAGCACACAGACACACACACACACACACACACACACACACACACACACACACACACACAAATTACAGGGTACATGTTCAATGATTATAGACTTTGTTAAATAAACTATTTGCGCATTGTAATGAAATTTGTGTTTTACGTCATGTTTCAAGCCAAATGTAACCGTTAGTTTAGAATATCACTGCTATAAACCGCAGTTAACTTTTGAAAAAAAAAAAAAAAAAAGCCATTTTAGGTCGCGCATGTGTTTATTAACTTTGACAAGTATTTGAATGTGGTAGTTCACCAATTATTATTTTCTAATACTCAAGAGTCTCAGCCTCATGCTAATAGCGATTTAACCAGTAGAAGCGATTGTGAATAGAGCAATAATGTAGAAAACAGTTAATTCCCCCCCCCCCCCCCCAAAAAAAAAAAAAAAAACTATAACAATATGTTTCATTAACTTCACAGACGGTTATTTCATATTATTTTTTGTTAAATAGTCACTTGAATACACCTGTTATAACCATAGAGTTGGTCGACGCTGCCCGGGAAAAAAATGTTGAGTTAAAAATCAACCCAAAGTATTTCAGGCTCCTCGCTGGTGCTACAGAGCCTGTACACTGAGCTGAGCTTTTTCAGAGTTAGAAGAAGAACGAAGCACTTATGGGTTACCTCCCCATGTGCCATGATGTTGATCCATTGTTCAAACCTCAAACCTAACCATGGCAAACAAAACAAAATCAAAGCACAAAATCATGAAAACACATTTAAGTACACCAATCAACAATTATGGTGCTATACAAATATGTTGAAAGTTAGCTGTGAAAGACAATAATCTATTACCTTGGCGGTTCCTCGTTCTGCTCTGTTGGCGCCTCCTCCTTCTTCTCTTCCTTTGTAACTTTCTTTCGCTTGACAGAAATCCTTCTAGTGACCCCCCATAAGTTTGTCGGCTTCCTAAGTTTGGATCCACTTCTCCCACCCCCGTCTCCGCCGCTTCCTAAACGATTCCCATCATTGGCGCAAAGTCCCGCACATCTGGGATCTCCACCGGAAGCTATAGAAAGTTTGCGCAGACTCAGATGCAGATCATCCTTACAGATGTAAGTTTCACTCCGGCCCCATGCCGAGACAAGGGTACTGCATCCAGATTTAGACCAGCACATGGAGTCATCAATGGCCTCGATATTTAAGACAATAGGTCGAGTTCCTGGACTAAAATCTCCGGCTTTTCTGTTCCGACGTTCCCAGATACTCATGTCGTCATCTTGGTCTTTTCGAATCATTTCACAAGATTTTGTACGAGAGATGGAGCTTTCCCCGATGGGACCAAACTCCGGAATGTCCTTGTTGGTACTGATGATGTTTAGAAATTTCTCGAAGTTGCTTTGTTCTCTGGTGATGTTCAAAGTTGGGATGATTGATGGTCGACGTTCATCGGGGCCATCTCTCCGGACATAAGGAGGAACACTGTCTCTCGTCTGTCCACCTGTGGTCATATCCTGATTTGTAGATTCTTCACTCCAAGAGTCTTCTAATGGATATCTGTCAGCGGGCTGTGAGAACCTTTCACTGGAGTCAAAGTCTCGAGAAGGAGGCCTGACGTTGGAACGATGCTGACCACCAAATCTGGATAACGTGGGAGATTCCAGATTCCCTGGAGAACCACAGGGCACTTCTAGCTCCAAAGTCGTGTAGTAGTCGTGTCGTTCTTCGGATTCTGAAACATTATCCAAGTAGCCGTGAGAAAACTTGGACGACAGAGCTGAAGACGTAGTACTTGCTGATGCAACTTCAATGCCACTATCCTCTCGAGAAGGGATCTTGACTTTTAACTTCGTTTGCCTCCGTCTTTTCCCGGCTACTGCAGCAATAGCTTCTTCAGCTGTAGATTTCTCCTTAATCCCAATCAGATTCACCGTCTCCCATTTACATAATTGTTTTCCTGAGTAGAAGAAAGATGGCTCTACTTTTGAAGCTCGTCGACTTTCAGTATGAAACAAGGAATAATTTTTTGAATCGTCCGAAAACCCTTTCCTCAGAACTATACCTCGTAAGCCTTGGTCTGAATCCCTTCTGCGCATGCTCTCGTCCCAAGAACTTCTGGTTTCCGGGTAAGGCCTTGCATGTTCTGGAGCCAGATTCGATCTCTTTACCCAACTGCGAGTTTTACCAAAGTTAGTGACGGCCACACTACCCCGGCGGTTCGTCTCATATGGCGATACTTTCTTCTCCTCTTCCTCTTTACTATCCTTGCGAATGATTGGCTGCATGCTGTACCGGCGATCCATTTTCCAGCCAGAAATCTATGCGCGCACAAACACAGACCTGCTTTCACAAACTGTTTTTATGCATTGAGTGTTCAACGGGTGCGATCGGTTTGAACCTGGGAGCAACAAGCAAAGGTTATCGAGCATCTCCGTGAAACAAACTCCCGCGGGGAAGCAGATAACTGCATTACCATTTAAAGACGGGGCTACGGGAAGATGCTGTGATGTAACACGTCTGCAGCTGAGCAAAGACACAACTGAACATGAACCGTTTCACTCCTGGCTACGGCGCTCACATAACTAGATCTTATATTAGACACATACACAATATTATTTATATATATGCCCGGCTCCCTAGCGTAGTTGGCTAAACAGGATTGCGCGGTGACCTGGCGACGAACTCCTTGTGATCCGGGTTCACTCCCGGGGGCAGGCAGAAAAGCCACATTTCTCCCAGATTTACGGTATTTATCATTAAATCAAGGACGTAAGGTTGTGATATCCATAGTACCGAGCCTAAGGGTTAACAACTCATAGCTTCTGGATACTAAAACAAAAAAACAAACACACACATATATATATATATATATATATATATATATATATATATATATATATATATATATATATATATATACACACATACATACTTATATCTCTCTCTTTTTCAGATAGTCGTTTCGTCTAATAAAAAAAAAGTCTAGCACCATATACAGTCTGACTTGATGGAAAGAAGCATTAAGCTCAGAGAGGGCGCAAATACCAGAACTTTAGCCACGAAAGTGGCGCAAATAAACAAGACCACAAATATAGCCGGAGACAGTTGGCAGCTTCGCCTAACTAGCAGCAGGTTGAACGTGGTTGAGTTTTGGATTTTTTCTTAAAAGGAATTGGAACTGGATCATATGCGTGATGCGTCAGTGGATATACTAGGGGTATGATCCACAGTCAAAACAGTCTATGTTTTTAAACAACTGTATGATACAAAGATGTGTGCAAGAGGGACATAAATAGTAAAGATATTGAGGTAGATTCGTGGGACTAAAGTTCCACAGACAGGTTTGCGTGAAGGTGAAAATATCAGGAAGTGAGTGAGAATAAAGGAAGAAATGATTGTAGAAAGGATGAAAGCTTGGCGTCTGAGAAGAAACACAGTAAATATATATCATGGCTATAGGGGTCCTGAAATGGCATGATACAAGTGTGGAACATGTTTCCTAACGCAGGCGGGTCTGGTTGGTCACATTCGTCATCCCCCTAGGCTTGGATTCCCATGCCTCCTAGTTGCACAACAGAACATTATCGCCAGGAAAGACGGAAAGGTGCTAACTATCTATATGTAACTAACTAAGTGACTGACTGACTGATTTACTGACTGACTGACTGACCGACTGCTGACTGGCTAGCTGGCTGGCTGGCTAGCTAGCTAGCTAACCTACTAACTAACTAACTAACTAACTAACTAACTAACTAACTAACTAACTAACTAACTAACTAACTAACTAACTAACTAACTAACTAACTAACTAACTAACTAACTAACTAACTAACTAACTAACTAACTAACTAGCTAACTGCCCAAGTTGTGCAGTTCGTAATGTCAGTGTGTAGCAACGTCACAATGAAGTGACTTGATGGAACACCTTATAAACATGGCATTGTCCAAAAGGATCTGTGAAAAGGTGACCGGAAAGATGCCAGAAATGACACAGACACCGGTAGAGAACAAAACCAGTGCTGAAAGCGCTCAAGCGCACCTTCTCCTGTGTCGTCACACTTGATAGGAGTCACCGGGAAAAAAAGGGGGGGGGGGTGTAGAATTCCCGTTGCTACAACGCCGATGTCTGTGCGCTTATCAGTGACAAGTCAGATGAGACTGATCTATCAGATGTGCTGATCTATAAAGACGGGTCCGTTATACCAGAACATACAAGTGCATGGACATTTACAGCTCACACTGCAGGCAGAGCAGTCCAAGAAGCCAGCGGCGCCTTTGCTATGACAACCAGTGTGGCAGTGCTGTAGCCAAGAACTGTGCACGTTAGGATACTTATTCTGCTGGAAACTGAGGAAAAGCCTCCATACATCTACTGAAGATTCGAACCCGGGACCCCTACATCAGAGCCCACAGGTCAGCCACTCCTTGCTTCTCATGACATGTCTATAAAATATCCATAATACACCAGGAAGCAGGTCCTTACCAGAACATCGCTCTCATGGTCCTTAGTACAACATTGCTCTCATGGTCCTTAGTAGAACATTGCTCTCATGGTCCTTAGTAGAACATTGATCTCACGGTTCTTATCAGAACATTGCTCTCATGGTCCTTACCAGAACATCGCTCTCATGGTCCTTACCAGAACATCGCTCTCATGGTCCTTACCGGAACATCGCTCTCATGGTCCTTACCGGAACATTGCTCTCATGGTGCTTAGTAGAACATCGCTCTCATGGTCCTTAGTAGAATATTGCTCTCATAGTCCTTGGTAGAACATTGCTCTCATGGTCCTTAGTAGAAAATCGCTCTCATGGTCGAAAAGAGTAGCCTAACAGCGCTGCCCGGGCAAAATTTGAGTTAAAAATCTACCAAAAGTATTTCAGGATCCTCGCCGGTGCCACAGAGCCTGCGCACTGTGCTGAGCTTCTTCGGATTCACATTTCAGTTAGAAGAAAAACGGAGCACTTATGGTTTACTAACCGTGTGCCATGATGTTGATTCGTTGTGAGGGCCCTCTGAGAGTAAGTGAACAGTGCGGAGGCACAAACTGATCCTTACTGACTGGGGAGAATAGTGGTGTAAAGAGTAGCCAGGGAATCAACACTCAAGGTAAAGGCCTGATGGATATACAATCAGTTGCTGATGCAATGGGAATTAGGACTCTTCGCTTGCTGCTGAAGATGGGGACGGAGGGCTTATAGGGGTGTCCTGAGTGCTTTGATCTCGATTCCTTATTCAAAAATCAACCTCGAACAGTTTAGACTGTATTAACCCTCATTTTCCGGAGAGTATGTGCATACGTAATCAGAAACGCCAGCAAGAAAGGAAAAACACATAACTGTCGTCCCCATTGTTATATTTAGACATAAACTTCGTAATAAGATGAGATAAACAGAAAAAAAATCAATAAAATCAGAAAGAAAAACAAAACACTGATCATACTACTGTAATCAGACATAAACTACGTGAAAAGAAGGTATTAGCTGACGCTTAATCACTAACACCAGAAACAAAACAATCCACCAAGAACTCAATATATATAAATCTTTAAAAACAGTCACAGCACCGGAATGGATTTCAAACGTGTTCTACATGAAAATAACAGGAATATCACAAAAAGTACACCCACAAAGTGATAAGAAAGAGTACTGCTCCACCTAGCTTCCATCGATCCACAAAGAAAGTGGCAATTTACAAAGAAAGTATAGTGTTGTCTAGTGCTGTATCACTGGGTGACAAGATATCGATAGCTTTGTTCTACTGGGTGAAACAGTTCTTGAAACAAAGACGGCGTCTGGGCCTGAACTGTAATAGTTATTTTACACCAGGGAATAGAGTAAGTCACACATCCTTTGTTGTTAAAGTAGAGAACGAGAATTTTACGTGTAGTTACTGATGGCTACGCTAGTTGGATGCTGAGACAGACAGACAGACAGACAGACAGACAGACAGACAGACAGACAGACAGACAGACAGACAGACAGACAGACAGACAGACAGACAGACAGACAGAGATATAGAACAAACGAAAGAACAAACTTTATTTTCAAATGGTCACAAATTGGGCACGCAGGCCCAACACATACAGACAGACAGACAGGCAGGCAGACAGGCAGGCAGAACAGACAGACAGACAGACAGACAGACAGACAGACAGACAGACAGACAGACAGACAGACAGACAGACAGACAGACAGACAGACAGACAGACAGACAGACAGACAGACAGACAGACAGACAGACAGACAGACAGACAGACAGACAGACAGACAGACAGACAGACAGACAGACAGACAGACAGACAGACAGACAGACAGACAGACAGACAGACAGACAGACAGACAGACAGACAGACAGACAGACAGACAGACAGACAGACAGACAGACAGACAGACAGACAGACAGACAGACAGACAGACAGACAGACAGACAGACAGACAGACAGACAGACAGACAGACAGACAGACAGACAGACAGACAGACAGACAGACAGACAGACAGACAGACAGACAGACAGACGGGCGGGCGGACGGACGGACGGACGGACGGACGGACGGACAGACAGACAGACAGACAGACAGACAGACAGACAGACAGACAGACAGACAGACAGACAGACAGACAGACAGACAGACAGACAGACAGACAGACAGACAGACAGACAGACAGAGTTTTACAGAACAATGGGCACAAGAAAGTAGAACTTGAGTTTTGCATGCACGTCTGATTTACTTGTATACAATTGGTTCCCTGCCTCTCGAACTGATGCACTCTGACTTTGATAACAATAAACCTAATTGTTTCGACTTTTCAACATACTTCTCAGAGCCCAATGCGTCATCCCCCTTTCCTAGCCTTTAAAGGGGTCCCGAAACCCACACAGGAAAACAAAAATGCCGACATACGTCGCTCAATTCATATGTCCATCGATTTCAAAGATAAATAGGGACCGTCGTTTTAGCTACAGGGTATGTGCTTTGTGTGACACACTCGTAGACAACCGACTTCTCTGCGGAAAGAAAGCGAGCCATCTGGGCTAAAGGAGTATGGTAAACAAAATACAATACATTGATTAGAACCGATAGAATTAGGTAGACATATTTTTTTTTATCTATATTAATTGCTGTGAACAGAAAGCTCACGATTAAAACTAGCTGTCGTCTGTCAGGCTTGTATTCCACTATTTCTTCCTTTTCTTCCTCTTTTCACTTCTTCCTCTTACTATTCCAGTTATTTTTCTTCTTCCTCCTGTTCATCCTCTTCCTCCTCCTCCTCCTCTTTCTCCTCCTCTCCCTCTCCTCCC